TCCGTTTTTAGGTCAGTAGCAATCGCATTTTGATCGACTAAATGGATGGAACATTCTAAAAACAAAACTGCAGTCGGCCAGCGGTACTTGTGACGCTATCCTAGCAACAGCTGATATATGATCTACACAGCCACATCCCGGGTGGAAACAAGTTTACCACCCCCGAACATGGAGTTCTCGTCTAGCAATAAAACGAAAGATGAGACTTTGTCAATGATAGTATCAAGCTGACATCGTTACGGTTAACGAAGATATTGAGACTGGCTTTCCCATATATTACTGACACGATCGATTCATCGCAGTTGGCCCAGATGGTCTCCTCCCCGGCAGCTGTTGAAAGAGCGGGTAAGCGAAAGTTAGCAGCTCAGACTGTTCATTCGGTGGTTGAACTGATTACTGAACTTTGCAACTTTTTGCAAACGTTTCACCATAAATAGAGCTGAAATCAACAGTGCAAAGGGAGTGTGTGTGTTATCAGGTGTGCGTCGGGAGTCGGGAGCATGAGTGTTTATATGTTGTCGAGATTAGTTGTCTGAGCGGGGCAATCCCACTCACTAGGTCATCGGACTGTGGCCACGGAGACTGACATACGCACTTCAAGGTCATTGTATCTGTTTGCAGCAAGAACCAATTTGAGTCGTGGTGGGAAAATGCTTACTACTCTAAAGTTATTGCGCCACGAATTCTGTGGCCACATTGAGATTCAATGAAAATTCTCCCTGAATTCACCAAGAAAAATGGAGGACGGCAGAGTACACCTTGCACTCGAGCTTTGTGATCGAACTAACCACGAATAGCCTTCTGTTACCACTAACTACTTCTGACGGGTTGAAGTTCCGGTGGATGACCGTCACCAAAATCGGAATATGCACACATTTTCTGGGCCGGATTCAGCTAATATGCAAGTGCCATTGAATAGGCTGACGCATATCGATGCATGTTTTGTCACGGGAATGATGGAGGCTGAAGTTTCGCTACCGGGCATGTCGCTGATCTGGAACGACAGACTCACAAAAGAAGGAGGGGTAACCCTGTATTACCGAAGCGAGTTACAATGCGAAGCCGTGGAGAATTCAGACTCCCAGTTCCCCGGCTTGCTTTGGTGAAGCTTGCAGCTAAAAGGCGGAGACGCTTGCCTTACTGTCTTGGTGTACCGCCATCCTAACTCGACACTCTAAACCGACTGCAACCTTGCGGCTGCTTTAAGATGCAGTCTATAGAGAAAGTACACTCATATTTCAACGTAAATTTTAACAGAGCAAGAACAACGAACATTTCTGCGGAATATTCTGAATTCAGTATACTTCGTGTATTCTCTTCAGCCGCTTACATACAATGGGTGAGGCACGACAGGCTAACCAACGCAACTAACCATGGATTTCTAGTATTAACCTACTACTCCCAATCGTTTGAAATTTTCACCCGTTGTATGTAAGCGGCTCAAGAGAATACACGAAATATACTGAATTCAGAAGATTCCGCAGAAAGATTCGTTGTTCTTGCTCTGTTAAAATGTTTGAAGGAAAATGGTTGTATGACATTTTAAATCAACGTACACTGTTCAGAAACCCATGCCACGATCGGAAAAAAATTCAAAGCCGATCTACAAGACCTCGTAACCACTGCTTCTCTTTACAATCACAGCAATTTGCCCATTCGGTTCAGAACAAGTAACAGGCGATCTGTGCTGGATCTTGTGCTTACCAACGAGGAGCATATGATTGATGTGTTGGTTTTAGACTGCCTGTTGGGCCGCAGTGATCACGCCGTGATCAGTTTCAAGTTCGTCTGCTATGCAGAATATCGGAAGGAGAACGAGGAAACTGCGCGAACCATCACAAGCTATGATCGATTAGCCCAGCTCGTTAACGCTACACCTTGGTCGTTGCTTGCCGAAGAACCCCCGGAAGTCACCTGGCTCGAGTTCGTCAACAAATGCAGTCAGCTGATTGCAGAGGATTCAGCGATAAGAGTTTAAAATATGTGTACATCAGTTTCTTTTGTTAGGAGCAAAACGCGAAAATGGATGACAGCATGGCGAGTGTACAGAGAAGCTCCAGCACCAGAAACTTGGGACAACCACGTAGCCCAACATAACCACCGCACTCAACTGCTAAGAGAAGACAAAGCAGCCTATCAACACAACATCGCAAAAACCTTCAGTGCTCACCACAAATTGCTGTACAAGCACGTCAATAGCCTAAGCAATGTGAGGCAAGGATTTCCTCCACTCAGGACGGCTGATAGTCCAACAAGAACAGCTGTGGAAGCAGCAAACGCGCTGAGGATGCAATATGCCCCCATTGTTTCAGCGGGGCTTGCCACCAAGCGATCTACCAAAATTTGTCGTCTCCCCGCCAGGACTAACCTACATCATTCTCACCGCGGAGGCTGTATTGCAAAAGCTGACGTCTCAACGCCAACACAGCTCCCCCGGGTGTCGACACTTTTCGTCCAGAAACACTGGAAGCAGCAGCAGGCCAACTGGCAGGACCTATAGCTCAGTTTTCCAGCGATGCTTAGACCAGAATCAAGTTCCCGCTAAGTGGAATTATAATCCAGATTCACAAAGCTGGAAGCAGAACTGAGCCCTCCAACTACAGCTCAGTATCGCTTCTTCCTATACACTCCAAGGTAATGTAATCCATAGTTGCCAAAGCAATGGTGTGTTAGCTAAAATACTGTAACATCCCCACGCCTGAGCCGTACGGATTCCGTTGACAGAGGTCATGAACAACGAACTCACTGATCGCACGCAGTAGTTGGATCGAGTCAGCTGACGCTGGAGAAGGAGTTGATGTGATCTACCTGGATTTTTCGATCGATCGTTTAGACTATCGGCCACTGCTCTCCAAGCTAAGGTATGACGGAATCGGCGAGCGTCTCTTAAGCTGGATTGTTAACGTTCTGCTTCAACGGTAATTGGTAATCAGAGTTCGGAGCTCTTTATCGGAGCCCATACAAGTTGAGTGTGGTGTGCCGCAATGCCCAGTACTAGGTCTATGTTCTTTGAGTGTTTATTAGTGGCCTTGCACAAGGAATCGCTTCAAACTTCCCAATGTTTGCCGACGATATTAAGATCTGGCGCAGGATCCAAATGAACGTCCACCAGCATCCGCTTCAGAGTGACCTAGACACGGTAGACCAATGGTTAACCCAAAACGTACTACATTTCAACGTCAGTAAACGCAAGGTGCTTTCCATCCGACATCATACCGGCTCGGAATGAATGTGCTGCAACAATCAACCGTAGAAAGTGACTTGGGTGACCTGGTTCAAGATGACTTGGGTTGCTCCAGGCAATCCGAAAAGGCCTCGAAGACGGAACCCACACGTCGGTCTGTTGCGAAGGGGGTTTGGACAAATAAACAGCTCCATATTTCGACAAATGCTCAGTGCGTATATTCGCCCCATGTCGAATACGCAATTCAAGCCTGGCATCCATGGCTGAAACACGACCTTAATGCACTGGAGCAGCCACAAGGTAGGGCATCTAAGAACGCAACTGGAATGCGCAATCTTTCATACGAGGAGAGGCTAACACGACTGGGGGTATTTAGCGGACGCTATCACAAACTACGTAGCGACCTGATTATGGCAGACTTGATTCTGCAAGACCTAGATCATGCGTGTCGCCCGTTACTGCGAGGCAGCACCAATACAACCCTGAGGGATCACTCATCCAAGCTCGCAGAACAGGATAGTCATCTGGAGTGCCACAGAAATTTCCTTTCCATTCGTGTTTGTCACCCGTGGAATGCTCACCCAGAATCGATCGTTTGTGCGCTGACATTAACAGTATTTACAAGACGGTTGGATGACGCACCCATCCACTTACATTGTCATACCGCTACGTCTCCATCCTACAAATGGAGTTTAGCATGGATTTATTTGATGTTAACTACGGGTGCTGTGAATCTAAGCGGGTTGCAGGATCATCAACGTTCCTTAACCTAGATAAATTCATTGTTCATATACCCTGCGCCTACCCACAAATATCAAGTAGGGACAATTGAGTGAGAGACTCAACGCGTGATACCATGAGTATTTGTGATGATATCATGGAACATAATTCCATTTTTTTATACGTCGCCATATCTTAGGGGACCAAAACGCAACAATCCAATCCAGGAAGATCATGCAAGTAGTCTTTTGATACAGTGTCATGCTACAAATCTGTGAAAACTAGTTTGTACGCATTTCGCATATATCCTAAAAAACTAGTACATTGTTACTCCGTCAACCATCGCATGAAAACTTCACATTAGGTTCCCAACTTTACTTTTTGACCATTTTACACGCTAACAGGTGTGGTCAGTATGTTTACCGATCCCTGCGATTTCATTGCTCGTCAGCCTGATCGGGATCACTGCTAACCGTTGTATATGTTGAACGCCATATCGAGGAATGTGCGTCAACCGTAAGAAGGGTTCACGAACATAAACTGCTATGGGAAAACGTTCCGTAATGGGGCTATTAGCTGCGATGGACTGGTGTAACTTTTAGTAGCAACATTGCAATTAACTAAATCGTAGCACTGTGATTTTGTTGACGGGCTACGACAAGATTTAAGCACAGCACGCAAGTGATCCACAGTTTCCCGCCGTCAACTAGATTGTAATGTGCCTCCGATATCCGTGATACATCGGTGTAGGAAACAGTAAACGACTCATCTCAACGGCTTAGGAACATTTGGATTAAGCATATACGCACAGATAATCACAGGGGTATCTGTTTGCACTTAGCATGATGACTGTTAGGCATTCCAACAGTAAAGTGGTCCAACCAGAAATGAGCGCAGTACGAGAAGCGATTGATACATGAGCTAACTGCCTTTGGGATAGCTGTAGACAACCTTGAAGATTTGACTGCGACATTACGCACAAATGGATGTAGAAAAATCTATCATCCCTAGACCAAGTTAAAAAGCAAAGGGAGCCATATAAGGGAGAAGAAAAACGTCAATACACCGGATTGTATTGCATCACTGAGTCCAGTCATCACAACAATTTGTAAATGCACGTGGCCAGCGGCTGAAAAGAAACACATAGAGCAAATAAGTGATGAGTTGGAGAAGGCATACCACTTGAGTCGAGGCAAATGTGAAAAATGTAACCGAGTAATGACAATTGAGGTGCAAATTTTTAATCGACAATCTTCATATGCAACAAATTCGCAAACTGTGTTGCCGCGAAAGCATAAAATGACAAATGCAATTATTTCGCTAGATACATTTGAAGCGCATGATGCACGTAGTATATTGACTGGTGCATGACATTTTTAATGAACTCCAATGGATCGCATACCAGAGGTGGCCCAAAAAGGTGGAAATACTCTGTGACGACAATACATCCAAACTAGCTCACAGTATGTTCAAAGGGTGGAAGGGTATGATGGTCAAGGACAAGCCGGAGAGAAGAGCGACCACCACATGCTAGTCGCTCAGATAAAGCCCGACTAAGTGGTGCAGGTTCACCATTTAGAGTTACGCAGGCACGGAATGAAGGGCAGTGTATGTCTGAGTTTAGCTCTGATATCAGTGCCATTGCGTGTGCGGTTTATGCGGTTTATTCTACGGATGTCGTTTTCAACAGCTTTCAGCTGGTCATTCATCGGAGACGAAACGCTATTCTGGGGGACGGTTAAAACTCGCTGTTCATCAGGGTAGTAATGATGGGCACTTACCTCCATCGTGCGCGGATCACAAGCGCTATGTTAACAGTACCGGTTTCTAACAGAGGCATTCATAAGAAATCGTCTAATGACCGAACAACAGGTTACTCACGACCACCGCTACGAGAACAGCAAAAAACATACAACCTAAATTAGCAGAACTCCATAAACGGTTCTCACTAGCGGAAAATACATCGGGTAGCATCACGAAGCAACAGCAGTGACCTGTCTCAACGTACATTTGGCCAGTGTCCAGTCATTTTTCTGAATGGGTAGGCCTCGAATCAGATGCAAGTAAGTCAGCGGCGGCCGCAGGACTACGCGATAACGACTTAACTGGACAGAAGTGCAATCACCATATTCCTCGTAGATGCAAAAGATGAGTTCGATAACATGGAGAAGCTACAAACCCGGTTAGTGATAACGGCAGGTTATATTCGGTGGGCACGTGGTTCACAAAACACAACGGCCGTATCAGTGAGACCAAATGACCTTAACCATAAACCTATTGGTAGCCAACAGTAACCTATGTTTACGACCATGTTACGACCATTGTGAATAAGAACGGTTGACGGTATGGAGCCGATGCAAATGTATGTCCCTTACGATGAGCTTGAGTTCTCCAAACCGATAAATAAAGAAATAAAGAAACATATGGTGGCGGCATCCGGTTTCGGATTCATCTGTCATTATGGTCAGCCACAGGACGACTGCGCCTACAGAGGGACCATCGCTGGCTTACGCTGCACTACGCACAGCTCCAGCCACACACCGCATATCCAGTGTAAACCCGAAGGATTAAAACCGAGAGGTATGCGGATGGGAGCCAGGTTTCATCAACACAGCCGATCCACACTCCTACACATGCAAACACAAGCACGCTGTAGTTAGAGGACTAAAGCGCACACAAATTGGTGGCTGGACCGTAGTCCGCTCCAAACTAAAAGCTTCGAACCACTCTTCGAGCCTAGCATGGCCACGAGGACCGTGCACCCCATCCCCACCAACAACGACCAACTTTCTCCTGGAGCCAGCGTGGACGAGGTAGTAGACAGGTAGGCACATTGTCAACAAGCAGACCGGTGATATCAAGCAACAGTCAATCACTTGAAATGACGGTATGAAACACACAGATACGGTGACATAACTGTTCACTAAATGAGTATATGAAATAAATTGGTTACGAACAAATCCGCGATAAGTTCAAGACGTCAGAAAATATATTTTGAGAAAATGCTACAAACGCGAAAATGTTATCGAAGTTAACTAAAGTAGTTTAAGGGACGTGTGCAAGTTTGTAGATAGTTCAGGTAGACATTAATATGAGATAAAAAAGCATTGGGACAATATAGCAAACCCACCACCTGAAACAAAGTGACTCAGCATGCAAGTGTGCGGTTGCATAGAATACGCCTATCTTGGAGTAGTGTTTAGAATTTCCTGTTGAAATACAGGATAATCTTAGACGACCCCATGGCTGTCGTTCAAAACGCTCTGTACTGCTTGTGGATTGTCACCAAGCAGAACGATGGCATCGGCGTAATTCAAGTCGGGGACTCTATCGCCAGATAGAACCTCTATACCGCAGTTTTGGACACCTTCTGGTGCCCGTCGGACATCTAAGACGGCAAAATTGGAGAGGAAAGGTGAAATAGGCAACCTTGGCAAACGCCGTTGGTAACAGCAAACGAGGAAGAAAGTTTGCCGTAAGCCTTAACTTTGCCCGACGTGTGACTGTAACGTTCCTTCAGGATGGTTACGAACTTGTCGGGCACATCTTTCCTTAAGAGACAATTCTACAACACAGATTTATCTACCGAATCAAATGCCGCTCGGGTGTACAAGACCATTACGACTGTTGGCGATCGGTGGAAGTAGCGGAGTTCAACTAGTTGAGGAAGTGTGGATATTTACTCCAGGCAAAGTCAGTTAGGAGGAAAACCGGATTGGTACTCTCAGGAAAAGCCCTCTCTAGTCGCTGAAAGCGTGCGGAGTAAGATGGACATAAATATCGTAGATGCAAGGGATAAAAGGAATTCCGAGGTAACCGAGGCAATCTTCACAGGAGACTTTTTTGTGGATCAGGACAACGACTGAGTTTATGATATTGGAATCTTCTCGTCATTCCAAACCACGAAGAATTCGCTGGCAAGTGCATTCCCGCCACCTTTGAGTAGAGCCAAGGGGAAGCTGTCAACGCTGGGAGTTTAATGACGCTTCTGATCTCTGCTTCGGCAGGAGAATCAGTGGGACAAAAGCCAAGCACCATCCGAGGGAAAGAGAGATGTCAAAGGGGACTGTACTGGGTAGTAAAATAGTTGGTAAAAGTGGTTTGCCCAGTGACCCAAGCGCCAGTGTATGCTGGTGATATTTTCGCGCCACTTGACTCGCAGATTGGGTGACTGATAGCGCGTGAATTGCAACCAGAGGCGTTGATTGAGCATGAAAATACAAATTTGTAATTGCAGTCACTAATTTTTTATCTGTTAAAAGAACTAGAAAATGACAATGGAATTGCTGAAACAACACTTAATAGCCTCTCGATGACCATTAGGGTATTTTTCTGGAACACACAGTATCATCTAATGCTTACATGTACACAAAATTAGTGAAACTAAATGATTTGGACCAGCAGTGCGGAGTAATCTGGATCATTTCGGCCGGAGATTATGCTGACGATCCATGAAGTAATCGAACAGCAGTACAACATGAGGGCAAAACCAACTGCATGCCATCGGCAGAACGAAGCAAGATTAGCTAACAAATGGCCGGCACATACTACCATGCACCGCGCTTGTCACACTGTTAGGCCTACAAAGGGATCATACCACACACTTCGAATTCAGTGTCAGCACTGAGCTATCACTGAGAATCGATTTATAATGACATTAGGAAAATTATCAAGCCGTTCTCAAATAACCCGTTCAGGTTTCAATGAACATACAGTGGCTGAGTTTCGGCATCATACGTAAGGAACGCCTATCAACAACGTGCTCACAGACAACACCAAAATTCCCACAAATCCGGTGTGCTCAACCGACGATAGGGTACCAGGCACCTGTCAGCACTTTGCTGCCTGGTGGTCCCGGTTAGACAAGCTAGAGCAATGTTGAAAACCAGTTCACTGGGGTTTTAAAATTAGTTCACCTGTCACGATTATGTCAAAAGATTGAGGGGTGTTGACTCGTGAGAAAAGACCAAGTAACTCCGACGTGCATGTGTGGTCTTCAGGCTTATCACATTGCAGAGCTCTACACCGACGCATGCTGCTAACCTGGCTCACTGAACAGGCCGACGCGGGTGAAGACCGGAAAAGCACCGAGTCTGTGCTATGAAAAAACGTAATACTTCGATGTTGTAGCTAACAAAGACACTGAGACATGCAAAGGTGTGGCTGGAAAAGGACATATTCCAAACTAACGAAGCAAGACAAATTAGGTCCTAATGTTAATGTTATTGTTTCAGCCTACGCTCCCTTTTAAAAAATGATCGTGTGGGAACGTAGTTGACAGACACAGAAGTGGTACTCAAGCCAGGTAAACGCAGAAGACCCTGGCGAATATCTGACTTCACTATGCGTCCTATATCATTCCAAAATAGAATTTTTCGTCAAAATTTACTTCTTGCACCCATCACTGAGAAAATATATCTCGACCAGTGATCAACCTAAGACTTAAAGTGAGACAAGTGTAATGGGTCCCGTGAATTTAGGGACGAATTTAGAGGAGCTGAAAAGGGTAGGGCCATTGCGTTAAATAACTTCATCCCCAAAGCACAAGATCGTGGACCGGTCGTTATGGATTAGATAAGTGGTTGATTTCAGCCGAAATTTGATTAGTGTGTGACTTTTATCCGATAGATAAAGTTTGAGAACTTGAACTTGTCATCCAAAAAATTAGCCTTTCACAATGGAATACTGCAGCCGTGGTAGCCGAGAAGTCTGGGGGTCGTATTCTAAAGTGGACAGACCGCAGTTCACGGCAAATTTTCACATCGTAAAATAACATCGTCTACCATATAAGGCAGGAAAAGGACGGTTAGAGCTCAAGCGGTTTTTTTCGCTTGCGGAGCTCGTAGACAGCGCCATCCGTTGCTGAAACACAGCGCACACAGAGATCGGTTTTCGATCGACCGACCTGAGAAACAGTTTTCTACTGGTCAGCAGATATTGGCGATATATAACAAAGCGATTAGTGAAACGTGACCCAATGAGTGAATGACGCTATCTTCAACCAACTCATTTATCGGGCAACCGCTATATAAACCGGACGGGGGGAATTCAGCCGAGTATACTTGTTCATTTCTCACCTTTAGGTCCCGTTCTCTTCTGCCACGCTAATCTCAGGAGGTGTGTACAGAA